TGGTAACAGTCCAAACTTGTTTCCCATTCACAACCTTCAGTTCTAATAAAAACTTGTAAAGAATGTGTTCTTCTCATATGTGTGTGTTGTTTTCACTATATTTATCCTAATATCAAATAACTACCTTTTCTACTAAAAAGGTAGTTTCAATTATTCCTTCCACTACTTCCAACCGCCCGGTAATCTCCCCCCATCAGCTTCCAACTGCTGGATTTGCTTTGAACCACCTTCATTACATTTGAACTGGCTCCCCACTCATTCTGAGCCGCCTCCACTGCCCTTGAATCGATCTGCAGTTTACCCCGAATTTTCTCCATTACATCTCTAGCCGGTATATGGGGTTTTATTCCCAACAACCTTGAGTCGCGTGGAGTCTTTGGTTTTCCTTTTGTTGGCTTGTTCCATGGAGCTTTCTGAATAAAATATGAAAGTGCATAGGCCTTCCACTGATGTTTAGTACGCAATTATTAACACAGGGCCAATGGAAGTGGTTATCCCATGATATGTGGAAACTGTTGTTTTCTGTCTTATGGAGGCAACTTACCTCTGCTTTGTGGAAGCACTGCAGTCCAATGGAGGCAGCAATTTCTGACCTTATTGAAGCATTGTTTTGGGATAGAGGCACCATAGTCCAAAGAGTTGCAGTTCTAAGGTTAATGGAGGTTGCTGCCCCAAGGTCCGTGAAGGCTGCTGCTTTCGGCTGTGTGGAGGCAACAATCATTTGCTTTATGGAGGCATCACAGTCAAATGGAGGTTGTTGTTTTATGCTCTTTGGAGGCAGCATTCTTTAGCTCCGTGGCATGAAGCTCCATTGTTGTTGGACGACTCCGTGGCCTGGGAGCTACGACTCCGCTCTTTCTTCGAGCCTCCTTCATATTTGGGTGCTTTTGAACTCATGTCTAACACCTACAAATGTTTAAGAAGTTGTTCCTGTAAAGCAGAATTAATTAAAAAATATATAAGATAAAATAGCACTTAAATTAAAATATTATTTTCCAAAAAAAGTAATAGTTCAAAAATTATATCATGTGTTGTTATTTATTTATTTTAAATAAAACTAATATATTAATTAACAATTGTGGGTGCAATTATTTGTCTTTGTGGTGTATTTTTATTGCATGTACATATAAGTGAGAATATTAATGGAGGTTTTATCACTTTGAATTGAGTACAAATGTGACATATTGAAATTAAGATAAAAAATAAAATAAGGGTGTCTTTTTTTGTTTTTAAAAAAAACCCATACATTTCCCCAATAAAATTAATATATTACATACATTCATTATTTTTATATTTTCTATACAATTTTCTATATGCGTTAAATTAAGTTTATGTTTGAATATATTTTGATGCGATATGTTATAAGAGAAAATAATAAATTTTAATTGAAATTTATAAAATGAATAGCGTTGATTTTTAGTTTGAAATTATAAAAGAACAAACTCCATTTGGTAAACCTAAGGTCGAACCTAATACCCTGCGAACTAAACCCCACGGTCATAAGTTCATTCTCCACAGCTATTTTCAAAAAATCCAATTATATATATCTATATGTATATATGTATCACTACAAGAAATTATCAAATTTGTAACGAGGTTTTTTCGTTTCTAAATTCACTTTTTCCGTTACTAATGATATTAGAGGCGAAATTAGAGATGAAATTACATTAGCTACGTGAACTTTAGGAACGAAATTCCGTTACAAATATACTATTTTTTTGTAGTGTATATATTTTCTTTTTCTATTTAATCGTAGCTTATTTAGAATTTTAAATTTATTTTCATATTATTCAAATTCTACCAATATTATATATATGTATGAATATAATTTAAGTGAAACTTATTGTACATAAAAAAGTACTATATGTAATGGTTAGGATCACTTTAAGAATATTAAGAATTTAAAAACAAAACATTAAAATATATAATAATAATAATAATAATAATAATAATAATAATAATAATAATAATAATAAAACATTACACCATAAGTATAAATATATTTTCTCTTTCTTTGGATATCTTTGTCATTATAAATTCTGATTAATATCATTGTAAAATTACTAAATCAATTCAAAATCATCGAGATCTAACATATTCAATACTGTAACTAGCAATAATTCACTATAAGAAAAAATTATTTTTGTAACAAAACCTTTTTGTCTCTAAATCTACTTTTTCCGTTACTAATGACATCAGAGACGGAAATAAGAATGGAATTACGTTAGCTACGTGAACTTTAGGAACAAAATTTCGTTACAAATATATTATTTTTTTTGTAGTGATTCGATCAGCAGCTAAGATTATAAGTACGACGATAGAAATATTTGACTTTGGATTTCATTCAATTAGCATTAAAAAAAAAAAAAAAAAACATACAATAAGATGTTCAACATATATTTTTTGTGGTTCAATAATTATTGTTACATACTAGTAAGTTAAATACCCTTACATTTATCATATATAGATATACAAAATTCGCTTTTAGTTTAATAACATCATTTTACATAATTTATTTTTAAATAAATGAATGATTAATTGAAGACAAAATAGAACGGCCATATCAAACAAGCATACAAAATATTCATCTAATAGCAGGGTGTTATCTTTTATTTTATTTCCACATTTAATTTTTCGAATAATGTGAAACTAAATTTATATTTTTAAATAAGGCAATATAGCTAAAAAAATATTAATGCAATGAAATCCAGTCTAAATAATAATTTCAATTAGACTACAATCTTATATGTAATTAAGGGTTTAAAAATTTAATTGTGAGGAAAAATAATAAAAAATTAAATTTGTTGCCAAATATCATTACCAAAAAAATTGACTTTTTGTAGCGGTCAAAATTCATAACTAAAACATAATTTTCATGCAAAAAAACCTTCTGTGTCAACTTTGTTACGGAATTTGACCGCTACGAAAAATCGCGGTACAAAAAATCATTGTTGCGGCAAAATCTGTAACAAATAACTGGCGGTCAACGCCCTTAATATGCATGTGCTAATTGTATTTGTTACGTTTCTCATCCGCAACAAAAGGATCGATTATGCTTTCGATACGAAATATGTCCGTAAAAAAAAAAATTCGATACAAAAGTGGTAATAATGTTAGAAAACTTCTTGTGACGAATATCTCCGTAACAAAAAATACTGTACAAAAGATATGTCACTGTGAAACTCTTGTTCCGAAAAATATCCGTAACAAAAAATACGGTACAAAAGATATGTCACCGTGAAACTCTTGTTCCAAAAAATATCCGTAACAAAAAATATGGTACAAATAGGAAATCTGTGTCAAATGAAATTTTTAGTGCCACAAAAGAAAATGCACTCAACTTCGTATTTGTTACGAAAGCAACTATTTCACAAACACTTAAAAGCATAATTTACCATAGATAATCCGAAAAACTTAATAAGTCTTACAAAATAACGTCAATCAAACGACGTTCATAGAAATGCCAAAAGTAAAACAATAACCATAAAAAGTACTTTGAAACATCAACTATGACAATGCCCTCGACCATCATAACAAGTAACTAATACACAATCCCCGAATTAAAAATATAATACTCAGAAAATCAAACTAGCAGCAACGAAAAGTGTAATCTTCGAAGTGCTAGGAACAACTACTTCGGACAACCAAGCTTCTCAATTAAATAATTACAATGGCAAGAAATAGGGGCAAACCAACTGCAATGAGAAATCAATATATATACCAATTTATTACTACAATTTAAAATATTTAGTTCGTCAAACAGTAAAACTAATAAAATATATATACATGTTGGTATGTCTGTTCGATGTTATCTCCGTCGAGTACCTCACCAAGGATCTTCGCTCCGGCATTCGTTGAGTGTAATACAAAAAATCGACAAAACAAATTGCAAGCATATGCTAAATTAATTGTGTATTTAATTACAAGAACAAGTACTAGTAACACAACAACTCTACAAAACAATTGCAAAGTTCTGATAATATTTTTTCAACAATTACAACAATAAAATCCATAGAGAAGAATTGCAGGCATGCCCAACTAGAAACACTACTCATCTATCTCATATCATGATTACCTCTACATTAATCAGAATAAAGGTAATTCAAGTGATAATGGGGGAGAAAGTGTTGGTGACATTGCATAATGGATTCCATGCTGAACCACATGTTTTTGGGTCAGTGTATCATTAGAAGTTCCTACATATTGTCCGGAAGTTTAGACACATCACAAAACTAGCAAAAAAGGTCCAAGTCTAAGTTCAATGTTGCAGTTTGCAAAATATAATCTGATATTTTTCTCTTCAACCGATATTTTAACTATTTGCAAAATTTAAAACAATATTGATTTGTAGTTTATCAATGAAACAATCATGCTAGTAAATATAGCTACTCAAAAAAACCAAAAGAGATATCAAATTCAAAAATAGCTAAGAATTTACACTAATATCAATTAAAGAAGCTCTCAGTCAATTCATAACATGCAAACTTACTCCACATGTACGATGTCTAATTACAATATACAATTCCATGTGGTTTGAGTGTTATGGTATGCCTTCTTGTTTTGCACTTAAAATAACTAGTTCAATAATATGAAAGAATGTTATTCCTAACTCATGGCTACCAAACTCAAGTCTCTACTGTAGGGCCTAAACTACGAATCAATCAATCAATATTACAATGAGAAACTCAAATTGATCAACAAGCTATTTGTGTCTTGTACATACATACCCAATAATAAAAGTGAAAAATTCACCACATCCAATTTCATTGAATAAGTAGTATATATATACATATTTAAATATATATTTATTTTTCTATTTTCTTTTTCTTTTTTTATATGTACATTATTAACAAGTAAAAAAATTAAATAACTATATTTTATGCCAAATACCACCACAAAAAATATGGCTATTTTTAGCGGGTTCGAATTTGCTACAAATATTTAGTTTTCATAGCAAAAAGCTATTTGTGATGATTTTGTTGTGGATTTTGGCCGGTATGTTTACACGGGTAACAAAAAGTCTGTCTCGCAACAAATGTTATAACAAAAGATTGATGGTCAATGCGCGTACGGTTTTGTACGTGACAAAAAATATAATTCTTTTTGTAACAAAGCATAACGCGGTGCAAATATTTTCTGACAGTTACATTTTCTTTTCATAACGGTTTCTTGTTTGAAACAAAAATAAAAATCAAACTAAATATCTATTTGTAATGAAGCATAACCGTAACAATTGATCCAGTGCAAAAATTTTCTGATATTCACAATATTTTTTGGAACGATTTTTGTAACATCTTTTCGCAACAAAAAATATACCTCCGGTCAATTAAAATAAACTTTTGCTATAGACTGAAGATGATACAATTGTAACAGTTTTTGTAACATCTTTTTTATGACAATTAACATACAACTTGTTTTTTCATATTCCCTCCAAAAATCATCATAAAACCTATAAAATGAGAATAATCCAACTAGATTCTAAGGCATAACAATCGTGTCAACTACACATAAGACTACATAAACTGCAAACAAGCCAAATCTATATACTTATATGCAAAATGATCAATCTAGTAAGCTCAAAAGATGTAATTATACGGCAGAGTGTTCAATCCAGTATAGAAAATATGCAAGACATAAATCCAGGGTCAAATATACATGGTATGCAGATGTCAATGCAATGAAAAAAGTACGGAGAAGGAACACAAGAGTGGCGAACCAGCTGCAACAAATAAGTAAGTTCTATAAGAATTTAATTGAGAAATGAATATTATGAACATATAATAAAATAACAATCTTAGAAAGCGAGCATAAAATAAACACACGAACAAAGGGTAACTACAAAAATTAAATACAATAGATAATTGTATGTCATGCTCCACAATTATATAAACAACAAATATGCATTAAGCATTATGCAAATACTTAAAATTTCACAGCTATAACATATTAAAATTGGAAACGAACCTAGGCCAGGGACGAATAGCATGAACCCCTCACCAACATATTTTTTCAAGCCATGGGTGATCAAAAGAACACGAGACCCAATCTACATAAGTGTTTTTGCAACTATTAACAACATTCTTATGGACTAACAAAGTATAAGCAAAAGAGAATGCTAATTTACCAAATTTTAGATATTACTTTAAAACCCGTCACATATTCATGCGTAAACTAACAATAAGTGGTTCATGAACCTCAATCCTTGGAATCTTGACATTTTTTGGTACAGCTAGTTCCCTACAATGCATGAAAACAATTAATTGCATGAAGTACATCACCAGACAACATGCCATACAATTTATAGAGATAATTGTATCCTTACAAAGGCTCGTACTAATGCTCCAATGGAAGAATTCATCCAATTAGACAATTTAGCATGGATATCTTTAATTTCAACCATGACAGCCCTCATCTAAGGAATATCCTTCTTAGGATTTTAAGCAAATAACTGATCAACGAAGACTTATCAATGGAATTTTAGGATACATACACATCCCAAGAAGAAAATGGCAGTCAATAATAATATCACACACTATCAAAGTATACACATCCCAAGAAGAAAATGGTAGTCAATAATAATATCACACACTATCAAAGTTACATAATATAATTTGCATAGACATCTGCATAAATTTCAAGGAATCTTAGGCATACAATGAAGCTTTTTGCAAAAAGAGTAAAAGGTGGGGATACAAACCTTACAAGGCATTATTTTGATCTACAAGATGGTTATGTGAGGTATCCATATACAGGTGCGATTATGAAATATAGAAGCAAAACATCAAACAGTAAGCAAAACCATGCTGAGAAAAAGGATAGAAATTACATGTTCGGTGCCGAACACGCAAAAACTATTGTATCAACAATAGACCTATGATACTGCAAAATCTAGCAAGTTGTTTGGATATAAAACTTTGGAAGAATAAATTTTATGAGTTACTTATGCTTCAGACAATTTTAAATGCTAACAATATGGATGTACTTTTTTAAATATAGGCATAATTCCATTTAGAAAAGAGAATTGTATTGGCACAAATCGAATAAAAATAAAAAATTGTAAGCATCCAAATAGAAACCATTAAAGAAATGTGTCTGTATATGGTAAATTTATATCGAAAATGGTTCTATTTTTTTTTTTTTTTATGTATCTGCCTATGTAACAATAAATTTAAGTTTATTAAAATGTTATTTTTCACATTAGAATTATAAAGTATTGTGAATGATAATTAAAATTGATTAATTAATTGCTATGTTGTTCTGGCTAATCCATTTAAATACATACAATTCAACAAAATCACAAGAGCCACAATATGATAAGACACATGACGCTTTAAGGTCCTTTGAACCTAAGTAGTCTTGGCTTCTAGGAATTATTTGAATTAGAATGAAGTAAATATAAGAGTACATGTAATATTGAAATAATCACATAAAAAAAAAGGGTAACCGAACAACCAAATTCACTAGATAAATATATGGCACGGAGATTGTCCTTGTGCAAAGAGAAAAAATAGAATAAAATAAAGAAATAAAATATTAATATCTGCTAGCCATCCATTCTATATACATAGTATTATATATATATATATATAACAATTATGATTACCACTAATAAACAATCAAAAGTTGAATGATAGAAGCAATTAAACATGGAGTGGACATTTAATACAATCAACATTCTAATGAAACCCTTTCAAGTTAAAGTCTATAAATTCAGAAGTGGATGACCAAAATTCCATCAAAATCAAGTAAAACCATTGAAATAAAAACCAGAATTTGGACAAATTCAAAGACCAAATAAAAAAATTCAAATTCATCAAACACAACACCGACAAGAAAACACACAGACGACTCACTACATGTTCAACACTACGCTTATCGCCTTGAAACTATTCATCAAGCAACTTGGGCATAAATACTAACTAAATTATTTAGTTATACTTGTATCTCGCACTTTTCTAGTTCAATACTTGTATCTCGCACTTTTCTAGTTCACATACCGTTGTTGGCCTGCTGCGGCACTGAGTTTACCTTCTCCTAGTGATGAGTTTCTTCAAACATCAGCCATAAGCATAAGAGATAGACAAGACATGCCAAGGCCATAATCCATCCAGGTAACGTGTTTTACATGAATGTAATTTCTAAGATCTCGGAAATTAGTTTGAAGTCAACATGCAAGCGCAAGATCGCAAACCATCCAAAGTGCACTCGCGTTGGAAAAACCCGCAGATGCTTTCATACGAATTATTAAAGGAACGCATACAATGATATAGCGCCAATTAACAAATTTTGCGGATCTCAATCTTAAACAGTCATTAGCCTAAAATATTCAAAAATAAGTATGTACAAAGAAGTTTAGTAAATAATCTCTACTTATAACTTCAATCCTATATGTAGAACAAAATTTCCATAACATTAACTCACTTAGACTCCTAAACCACATTAGGAAAAAAGAACTTTTATGTTAATTTCTTACCCACAAAAAAGAAAAAAAGAAAAAAAGACCAATAAGAACCACCTAGATAGAGTTGAAATCATAGCCAAGAGCATATAAGGTGCACTTGCGCTGACAAAACCCGCAGATGCTTTCATACGAATTATTAAAGGAACACATACAATGATATAGCGCCATTTAACAACTTTTGCGGATCTCAATCTTAAACAATCATTAGCCTAAAATATTCAGAAATAAGTAGGTACAAAGAAGGTTTGTAAATAATCTCTAGTTACAACCTCAATCCTATGTGTAGAACAAAACTTCCACAATATTAACCCACTTAGACTCCTAAATCATATAAGGAAAAAAGAACTTGTATGCTAATTTCTTACCCACAAAAAAAGAAAAAAATGCCAATAAGAACCACCTAGATTGAGTAGAAATCATAGGCAAGAGCATATAAGGTGTTCCCAATCAAAAGAAAAATGCTATTGAAATCATAGGCACATAGAAGATGTTCCCATTTGATCCTAAAACAACATGCCTAGACCTCTAAAACCATGTCTCCTCTTGCCATAGGGCAGACCACCCCATATACATTACGAAATTGGACTCAAATTCATTCCAGCCTCATGTCCCTTCTTTGGAGGATTGTTGCTAGATTCATTAGGACGCAAAAAACAAGTGCATATAATTTGACAAACTAAATGTTAAATATTTTAAATATTAGACTAGTAGAATGGTAAAAGTCGATTCATTATTTGGGAATCCAGGAAGAGATTCATCATCAATCTTTGTAGAGGTGGGGGATGAAAGATACAGTTGCTGCCCTTAAATCCAAAAAAATTCAACAACAGCTTTATGACTTCTCAAAATGTAAAACAAAGAAGACAAATTTAAAGCATAATAGGTAAATGGATTGGAGGTGCTCCTGGGGGTTTGAAACCTTCATTGTGTTTCAATCTTAGACTACATAACCGAACAATAAAGATTAAATGACAAAGGGAAAGTGTCAAAAAATCACCTTTCCCCATACATGGGATCCAATTGATCAACATCAAACCTGTGATCCTGCAAAAAAATAAAAATAAAAAAGAATAATTTCTTATAATGTCAGCTATTTTGGATAAGGATATTGATATCTTGTAATTGAAAAGTACTTGTCAAGAAATCCAAATATAACTAAGACTTTAATAAAAAAAATATATAATAACTTGTTCCGCCAGCATCAAATGATCTTTTAACCCTGTAATAATAGGGACTGCAACTTAAACTATGCAATTCAAAGTAGTAGCATGGCACACGCCAGAGTAATGCAATTTTATCAAGTTGGCAATGAAACTTAAGAATGTAGATTATAAGAGGTAGCATTACATGTAAGACGATAAATATATCAAAAGTGCATTGTATAACGGGATTGCAAATGAGAAAGAATGGTCAATTAAATTATTCTTAGATTATGGAATGGTTTCACTTGATGGAACTTCCACTACCTTAAACTACTAAGCTAAATCTCTCCTGCAGAGTAGTTTTCTAGCAAACAATTATGAGTCATAGTTCATTGCACTACACTTGTTGGCAGATCACCATACTTCACTGCACTATATCACATTCACAATCACGTGCCTGCTCTAAACAAGCTATATATATAAATTCCCAACAATGCGCCAACGTAGCTCTTTTGTCTTGCCAACACATGTGCTCCCTCTATGGCCTGTCTTGTCTTTCATCGATAATAATCAATATAATCTCCCTCTTCAAAAGAAATCCAATGAAGTCCAAGAGCCCAAGTTTTCATCCACTTCATTTTTGCTAATTTATCTTATATATGTATCAGAAGAACTAGTTTTGCTCCAAATGCAGAATAACACAATTTAGCCATTATATACACACACATATATATATATTTCAAATTATAAAGAATAATTTCTACAAGAAGATTATCCAAAGGCAGAAAAAGTCGATTTCAAAAGATTTTGGGTGAAGCTCTAATCTTACAAATGAACATCAACAAAATGAGTATTATGCCACCCCAAACAATCAATCACACAAACTCAATTGTTACACGCTATATTACCTAGGTTTTAATCTATTCTTCTAAGAAGAGCGCTGCGTCTAGAAGATTGAGGCCGCCGATCCGTCAACAAACTAGAACAGCTACGGAGAGGGTTGTAGTCCTATTGTTGCTATTGGGCTACCTGAAATCGGCAACGACGTAGGAGTAACTAGGGTTTGCCGGAGAATGAATCGATTGATTTAGACGAGAAAAAAAAATGGAATCAATTTTGTCGACTGTTGAGATGTAAAACCTTATAATGCTTTGTCATCCTTTTTTACATTTTTTTTTTCATTTTATTTTATAAAAATAAATTTATTTAGATATATATATATATATTTTTGTAATTATCATATTTAATTTTTAGTTACGGCTTGCCTCGTAACAAATGTGTATAAGATCATATTTCATTATAATTATAATTCTTTCGGACAAATTATTATCGATACCAATAAAGGAAAAACGTTTAAAACATTTTTGTTATTGAAAAGCATTCTTATGATTATAAGGAATTAAAATGATTTTTCTTTTTTTCTTTAACATAAAACATATGCTTTTATTATTATTATTATTATTATTATTATTATTTTATTTTATTTTTCTGTAGATATTGAAAAACATTATTATGATTATAAAGAATTGAAAGGCTTTTTCTTTTTTTCCTAACATAAAATATATGCTTCTTGTATTTAATATGGTTAATCGCGATTTATTATATTTTTTGATCGAACTATCCCTAATATAGGAGGGTGTTAGCTTTTTTTTTTTTTTTTTTTTATGATTTATTATTCTGATTTATTATAATACTTGTGTAAACTCATATGGCGTTCTCAAAAAATAGATTTATTTATTTTTTTCCTGCATATTTGTGGTTTGATTTTTTATAGTTTAATAAGGTAAAATTGTTGTTTGATGTGATTATATGTATGGAAAACTTTTATACATGATGTTTATAAACACAAATCGTGAGATTACAAAGTATAATAAAATATAATCTAATAGAGCACATCGAACAATTTGTGTGATTGATTTTAAAATTGATTTACATGGAAAATGGGTGTTAAAAAGTGATGTTTATGGCTGAAAATAATGAATTCGAAAAATGAAAAAATTTATATGCATAAAATAATTGAATCTAAGTCATTAGAGAATATTGCAAAAATGAAATAACATAACAACCCTACAATTTATGTAGATTCTCTCTAAATAAAAATTAAAATAACAACATTAGAGAATTCATACACATAAAATAATTGAATATAAGTCATTAAGTCAAGACACTCGATAAAACCTATTTTATAACATGTTTGGAAACCTAAACATTCAATTTCCCGATTTATAACTTAAGAGATAAATCGAGTCCTGAGTCATCAAAATCTGACTCATCATTTCTTGGGGTAGCAAGGGCACTGCCCTCACGAGCCCCGGCACTACTACTATATCCACTGCCATAAGCTTGACGACTTCCATCTCCAGAAGTACTACCCATAGGGCCAGCACTTGGAAAGAGGTTATGCAATTGTGGCGGCCGTGGGAGTTGTGGCTCAGCAACCACCACCCGGGGGCGTAATGGGGGCATCGCCTGCATTTCCGGGCGAGGATTAATGCCAAACTGGATTGCAGGATGTCGTAATAGCATTTGTGGAGCCTGTAAAGGCCTTTTGTAAAACCCCGGGAATGGCCTGTTGTAATTGGGTTCTGAGAAGTCCCGGTTACTTCTCTCTAAGGTCCTTTCAGCCTTGTGGGCATTTTGGTGCCCTCCCAAAGCTTGTTTCTTGTTAAATTTTTTATTACAGTATTGACATTCGTATTCAGGTTCAAAAGAGTTACAATTTGGCGGTGGTGGTGACGGTGGATGCTCCATGGATAGGGGTGGGAGTATGAGTATGTATAAAAACACTATGAAAAACAAGTTTTCGAATAGAATGATACTAAAAGAACATACAACCTTTTTATATATAGAACAATGGGTTTTGGGACTCAACTAAAATTAAAATTTTGTGAAAACTGTTTCATCTGCTAAAATATCAGTAATAAATATTTCAACTAAAGTCTCATATTACATCTGTCCATTTTCATCTTTTCTAGTTTAAGGAAAAAAATGAAATTAAAATAAAATGACATTTTTTTTCAGGAATAAGAAATACTAGGTAAGTAAATTTTTATTACATAGTGTATTGTTGGGGTTATTAATTAGGGTTTAATCACTTCAAGTCGAGTCCAAATTTGACAGTTACTTGTTGTAATTAAGATAACAAAAAATTAAGTATTTTGAATATTGAAATTTAATTGAAAATTAAATACTAACCCCCAACCAATTTTTTTTAATTATTATAAAAGAGTTGTTGAAAAATTAATAATAGTGCCATTGTAATAGAAAATGTTGTTATCTGTTTCAACTTATTTGAATTTCTCTTTCAATATTTGAGAATAATTAATTAATTCAAAGAAATCTTTTATTATTTTAGTGAATAATACGTTTAAGAACATAATCACAATGGCGTGTACTACGTTTATAGGGAAAAAAAGGAAAATAAAAACGGTTTTAAATTTATGTTTCTGCTTTTCAATCAACATCTTCATCATCATTGTTATTATTATTATGATTATTATTATTATTGCATTTTGAAACTTATTCATAGTATTCAAATTCTACCGATGCTTTTTCCTTATATATATATATATATCAATATATATGATATTTTATGTTAAACTTATTATATATAAAATATTATATATAACGGTTAGTTTCAGTTAAAGAATTTCGAAATGAAAAAACCATTAAATCATAACTATATACACAAATTTTCTTATAGATTGAACAAAAAAAAGAAGGTTTTCTGATAGATTGTTGATACAAAAGTTGAGATTCATACGATACATTTGTTGTAATAAATTACCATCGATATGAAAATTTTGAGGTGTTCGTCATTTGAACAAAAAAAAAAAAATTCTTATAAATTTTTGATACAAAAGTCAAGATTCATATGAAACATTTATTGCAATAAATTATGATCGATATGATCTTTTTGAGGTATTTGTGGTATTTGCAAACTTTTTAAATGAATTGATAAGTATAAATATAAATAGAGAGGAGGAGGGGGAGAGTAATTTTGTCAGATCAGTTATTGATATATTTGAGTTCTAACGAAGTCAATAAAGGCATTATAATTAATTTGTTCAATAGCTTTGACAATAGAGATATTTGGCTTTGGATTTCACTCAATTATAATCCAAAAGACCAAAAGGACGAACAACATATATCTCTTGTCATTAATTATTATTTCATACTAAGAAGTGAATTACAGCTGAGTTTTTGAGATTTATAGGTGTAATGAGAGAATGAGAAAGAAAGCAAATAAAGAACATAGAGATTTTACGTGGTTTAGCGACGGTGTGTCAACTTACGTCCACGGGCATGAACCGGAGAAATTTTATTATACTGATTCAGATAATTATAATCATTGTCATAAGGCTAGGAACCATAGTTATCTATTTATAAGCATCCCAAAACACCCTAAACCGTAAGCTAATTTGTTATTAATTGGGATGAGCCCAAAAGGAACCCTGTAAATTGAAACAGCCTGTTCGCTTTGGTTCTGGGTCGGGTAGACCGCTATATCCAAGTCACGTTTCAAAAATCTCCACCTTGACTTAGAGTTTCTCCGACCGCCAAAGGTTTCTCAATATCCCTCAGTCGTCTCCTTGCTTCCAGATGTCCCGAGGGGACTTTACCTCCTGAAAGTATTCACCAAGTTCAAGCAGTGCTCAAACTTCTTCGTCGGTAGCGCCTTTGTCAACATATAAGCTGGATTGTATTCTATAGCTATTTTCTGAAAAGAAAACTGTCTTCCTCCAGAACATCACGGATAAAATTCAACTTTACATCAATATGTTTGGTTATCTCATGATACACCAGATATTTAGCCAAACTCAAAGCACTTTGACTATCACAGAATAACAGTGGTTTCTCCACTTTCACACCCAAACTCTGCACCAGACCATGTAACAAGATATCCTCTTTAATACCTTCAGTCATTGACATGTATTCCGCCTCAGTTGTTGATAGTGCAACCACAGGTTGTAGACTTCCAACTGACTGCACATCCAAATAGAGTGAAGATAAAACAAGTCAGTGATCTTCGTTTCACCAAGTCACCCTCGTATTCAGAGTCTGCATAGCCAACCAGACCATCACTATGGCCTTTATTATCATATACCAGAAAAATATCAAACGTTTCTTTCAAATATCGCAAGATCTACTTTACAGCTCCTCAGTGAGCTATACACGGATTAGCCATTAACTTGCTCACCACACTAACCACCAATGCATAAGCCACGGAATCCATGTCACATGTATTGACAAATCTTGCAAACCTAGCTGGTTTCTGAATATTTCTCTTTCCCTTTCTAGCTACTATGGAATCTTCAACTCCGGTACCAATGTCATCAGTTTCCTCCCCAACCGGTTTTCCTTGAGATTTTGACTGATCTGGTTGATCGGATTGATCAATAGTATTATCCTGATGCTCTTCCTCTAACACAACTCTGTCAGGAATCTCAAACTCCACATTCTGGTTATCACTGCAATATTTTGTACCTGCAATACTTTCATAACCTCTACTTTGATCAAGCATAGTAGATTCATCAAAGATTACATCTCTGCTAGTAAGAAATTTACCAAGAATTTTATCTTCTGTACACCACAGTTGATAACCTTTGACTTCTTTTGCATACCCTAGAAATATGCATTTTACCGTCATCTGCTCCGCCTTACCATTATTCACATGAGCGTATGCAGGACATCCAAATATTCTTAGATTAGAGTAATTAGAGGGTTTACCGGACCATACCTCTTGAGAAGTCTTTAAGTCAATTGCAGTTAATGGAGATCTATTAACCAGATAGCTAGCAGTGTTAATTGATTCAGCCCATAATTTCTTAGATAAGTCAGCAAATATGCGCATACACCTAGCATGCGCCATGAGGATTTGGTTCATATGCTCTGCAATCCCATTTTGTTGTAGTGTGTGTCGTATAGTGCGGTGCCTCACTATACCTTATTTCTTAGAAAATGAGAAAGAAAACAAATAAAGAACACAGAGGTTTTACGCGGTTCGGTGACGGTGTGTCAACCTACATCCACGGGCAGACACCGGAGAAATTTTATTATACTGATTCAGAGAGTTATAATCATTTTTATACGGCTAGGAACCATAGCTATATATTTTATAAGCACTTTAAAACACCCTAAATCCTAAGCCCATTTGTTATTAACTAGGATGAGCCCAAAAGGAACTCTGCCAATTGAAACAACCTTTTTACTTTGGTTCCCGGTCGGGTAGACCGCTAAATCCAAGTCACGTTTTAACAATATGATACATTTGTTGTAATTAATTATCATTGACATGATCATTTTGAGGTGTTTGTAGTATACATGGGGGAGTATGTAGGTCGGATCAGTTATTGATATATTTGAGATCTAACGTACTCAATAAAGTCATTATAATTAATCCGTTCAATAGCTTTGACAATAGAGATATTTGGCTTTGGATTTATTCGTTTATCATCCAAAACAACAAATGGATGTACAACATATTTCTCTTGTTGTAATTATTATTTCATATTATGAAGTGAATTACAGTTAAACTTTTGAGATTTATAGGATACATTTGTTTCAATAAATTATCATTGACATGATCATTTTGAGGTGTTTAGTATATACGGGGGAGTATGTATGTCGGATCAGTTATTGATATATTTGAGATCTAACGTACTAAATAAAGTCATATAATTAATTCATTCAATAGCTTTGATAATCGAGATATTTGCCTTTGGATTCATTCATTTATCATCCAAAACAACAAAATGATGTACAACATATTTCTCTTGTCGTAATTATTATTCAATAAATATAAAGTGAATTACAGTTAAATTTTTTCGTATATATCAATAAAATTTGCTTTCCCACCAATAATTTTGTTATCCAAAAGAACACTTATTTATTAACATCATTTACATAAATTAAATTAAAATAAGTAATATAAGCATATTATAATATATATCTTCAAAGATTCGAGCAAAATAATACTTCCACATTAAACAAACAAAAAGAATATTCACCTCCATTTCTTCTAGTCCGGTAAGGCAATATGCTTCAAATGAACACTCATTTAAATAAACCAACAATCTAAATGACAATTTCTATATAATTTATCTATCATCTCACAATCATACTACAATCTTGAATGTAATATAAGTGTTTAGAGTTTGGATTGTAGAAATAAGAAAAAGTTGTATAGCCACATAAAATAGTAATATATATATATATATAATGGTGAATTTCAATATACTGTATATGCTTTAGTAAAAATTGTTAATTATCTTTCTTGATTTAAAAATAATGTGAAGTCTTATGTGCGTATCGTAAAACAATACACAAAACTCCTTATCTATTAAAATTAATTGGGTAAAAAATAAATTTTACATGCTCGTATATTGGGAAATAATTGGGTAAAAACTCCTTATGGCTGCCCTTGATTGCCTCAAATGTAGTTGGAGAACGCAAGCATGTTTGTCCTTGGTCATGTTCGTAACTGCTGTTTTGATCGAATATCAGTTGTACTGGATTGGAATATTGGGTGTTAGTAATTATATTGCGGATTGATTTATTTAGATGTTTGGTGCATGTTTGGCCTCATTGTTGGTCGGATATTTTAAGGTGTCTTCATTTAGGCTGCTCCTAGACATCGGTTTGGCCTTATTTTTTAGGTTGGGTCAAGGATTTCATTTGTAATGGAAAGAACTGGTTCGAGATATTTAGAACAAAATTTGTTCCGTAACAACTACTATAAAAATGGCCAT